TTCACAAGAAATTCAGATGTTTATAGACATGATACATATCCCAAAAGAACAGCTGCGTTATAAGTTTGGGTGCAATTTCCCATGTCAGATCCACCACCGACGAAGCATGACAAAGTTGATTTTGCTCAAGAACGAAGCACGGGGCACCGACGAGGTTTGAAAGATCGGCTACCCAGAGCACTAGTGGATGGGGGCCATTGATGAGTGTAACCACTGTAACCTCTCCTTGATTTTCTTGGAGAGGTCCCGGAATTGGCCCGGCCCAAGTTCTTGAAGCTGGTGTTTCACTATATACCTGGCGTTGAAGATAGGGTTCATACAGCATACACATCCTGTAGTGCAGGTGTTTCGATCAATGCAGTAGAAGGCCCCCAAATCATAGGAAAGGCAATTCACCACCATCAGTCGGCCGAGCATTTTGACATTTGGTAAGAAGTCAATGCCCAAGAAACCCTCAATAACAATGTGGCAATAACTGGCGGGGCCAACGCCACAGTCTGGAATCTCTTCTTCCGCAGCCTCGTTTCCGCTCAAAACGCCAAGCGCCGCTGCCTAGACTTGAGCAAGCTGACCGATGCTACTGAGTGGAAGGGAAGGGGACACCGACCTACCTAGGGGAAAGTGCGAGCATACATGTTTGTGTCTCACTTTCGCGGGCGGGACATTTCCAGATCACACGCAACCCAAGAACTGCATAAGGTTGAAAGAGCATGGCCAGAAAACTAGTTACCAACCAACCCCATTGGCCACGGCATGCGAATATAGTTTTGGGTCAATGAATCTTTTGCTTGGGTGGTGCTTTGAGGTGCTTTGCCCACATGTATCCAAAGTGTGTGATATTTTGGGAGGTTCAGCAGTTCTGGCAATACGAAGGGAGCCTGAGGGGAGAAACAAGGCGGAGAATGGCAAGATTGTGAGAGTACTGCATCATGCCTCCAGCTAGAAGTGGAGAGGTGTCCTGCTGGGCTTGTGCTTTTTCGAATGGCTCACAGTCTAACAGGGAAAAGAGGGTCGCTGCAGCAGGTAGGAGGATGGTAGGAGGAGCGGCATTGAGATTTGTCAACACTTGAGACCTAAGCAGGTTGTACACCAAGTGTTGATCCTGTTGGCGATGGGAGATGAAGCCCTAAATCCACAAGCTTGAGCCATCCTTGAGGTATGGATGGAACTTGGCGCCAGCATTGGGAGCGTTGACGCCTTGAGAAGCAGCCGTCAGCGGTCAGCGATGTCCTCAGCGATGTCCACAGCCAATGGCGAGAGTCACTGGGCCTCGGAGTCTCAAGCTTTGGATCACCAACTTGTCCTAGTTGGAGAATCAACTTGTCCTAGGTCCTAGGTTGTGATATTCTCAAAGCTTGATCACCAACTTCTCCCCGGCAGCTTTGGATCACAGAGCTTTGGATTTGTCTCGATTGGGTGTTTCAGGGATCGTTTTGGGGGGCGCTGTTTGGTGCCGGTGCTGCTTTCCAAAACGATCGGGACTCCTCAAGCAGTCCTTCACGCAAACACTGAACCTGTCAAACTCAGACCTTTGACCAAGCTGAAAAATCTCTGAGTTTGACAAGGTCCAGGGGTCAAGGTTTTAGAGAACAGATCAGAGGTCTAGCAACACTCATTCAGTTTTTGCAGGATCACTGTCAGTGTTTGTATCGTTTCTATTTAGAATCCACGTTTTCAACAGGGCTCCTTCATTTTGCAGTCCATGAGTGTCGAAAGTTGTAAGTGACCGTGATCATAGCATTCACTGATGGCTGGGTGTTGAAACAAACCTTTCACAGTTGGACCTGGATCAACTACAGTAAGTCAAAGTGAAACCGTCGTTCTTTATTCACCCTTCCCCTTCCTTGGCTCACAGCTTTGGGATTGTCAAAACACACCTGAGACCCGAAACTGCCGCGTCTTCCGAAGGCGAAGTCACTGAACCGCTGGAAGAGCCACGCGCCCTGAGAGATGAAAGGCGCTTTCTGCATCAGCGCTTCGACGCTTGGTGTGATCGGTTTGATGTTCTGAAAACCTCAGCTTTTCGTACTTTCCTGGCAGCACTTCATCAAGCTCAAAGGACGAGAATGAGGATGAGTTATTCACTCAATGAAGACTTCATCCCAAGCGCACAGGGTCATTTCCTCCAATGGCGGCAGTGTTCATTCCTAGTCCACCTACTACCATAGGCGGGGAACTCCAGCGTTCGCTCGTGCTTTGGGCGAGTCCAAATTGTGAGGAGAAGCTCAAGTCAGACCATCCAGATGCTTGGATGAATTCATCAAAGATAAGTGCAGGTTGGGAAACAGATGAAGAGAATACGGGATTTGTAACACCTCCAGACTTCTACCCTAATTAGCAATGTTGGTTCATTACCTCAGCCAGTGTGGCGCCGTGGCGCTATTTTGCATTGTTACTGTATATGATATGATTGGATCTTGTGACTTTGATCATTTGGGCTTTCTAACAAGAAGCTACTAGGGGCTCCTGGCATCGCTACTAGGAGCAAGGACGCTACTAGGGGCTCCTGGCCATACTACTAGTTACTAGTAGCATTCTTACTACTAGCTACAAGAAGCTAGGGGCTAGGGCAGGGGTGCCTCACAAAGTGGCCAGGGCTTCGAGCCCTCCAGCGTTCCCTTTGGCGTGGCCTTCTCGGGGGGGCGGAGTCCGTGCAGCTGCCTTCCATTGTGGCCTTTTGCGCCTCGGCTGGAGTTGGAAGATGGAGCCCAAGCGCCCCAGAAGACAGACAGTTCATGTGCGCCTGAGGTGGGCATTAGCTGCTCAGGATGTCTTGAAGGCTGGAGTCCGTACTGGTTGTTTGGGTCGCCTTTTGACTCAGGACCTGGACTTCCTGAGGGGTTAAAAGCAGATCTGGCACACCAGCCTTAATAGAGGTTTATCAGTACCAACTTACCAACCCTGCTGAATGACACAAGAAACATCAAATATCTGGCAGAAGTTGTAACCACAGTGGATCAATCTGGATCATCCCTGGTCAGATGCTTCCACCAACCACCACTAGGATCGGATCTCGTCTCAAACATCCCGCCCACCACTGGCAGGATGTCAGCCATTTGGCCTCCGTCTCGGGCGGCGCCTACACCGCCGCTTGCTACGCCACCCACCTGCTGAAGCTGGCGGAGGAAGCGCCTCCTCCGGGCGCAGCTGGCAGTGGTGGGCTGGATCGCTGGTGGCCCGGCGCTTGAGGCCAAAGAGGAAGAGGAAACTGCACCCTGAAAATTGCGGCTATAAATGGACGCTGACAAGCTCTCCTTTGTTGGTATAAGGCGCTTTGCAAAAAATAGTAAACATCCTCATGCAACATCGCGATAACATTGCGTCCCTTCCAAAAGTCAGCGCTTGGGATGGGAGAAGTCACTGTTTCACACTTTCCAGTGCAAGCAGATGAGGCCATAGAACCTATCGACGTCGACAATCAATAATCATCAATCAATCCCCAAATGTTGAATTCCTGACTAATCTTGGTCCTGCCAGCTGAGGCTGTTGCCATGTTTGTTTTCAGCTCATGTTTCCACAAAGCCGAATATCACTTCAACCCTTGTGGTCCGCAAGGCAATAGGACATGTTTTTGGTGGTTTGTTGAGCGGCCAGGAATCCTTGAATTTGTTTGTTCACACTTGCAAGCCTTGGCATGTGTGACTTGAGCCGCACATTCCTTTCAATCCTTTTTTTGAGCATTGGCTCAAATCCTGAAAGCCAATGTGCTGGTAGAGTTGTAACAGCACCCTCCATGACTAGCAAAGGTTTGTGGTATACGTACTTTTGTGGTAGCAGTAGTCGCTCGCAAAGCCTTGGCAAGGAGGGGCCTCTAAGATCTTTGGACATCCATGGTTCAGAAGCCATAGATATAATGCCTCAGAATATGCCAGAGACGCCCTATTTTCCGGTCCGGTTCAAGACAGCAAAAGTACAGGGAAACGATGCGGGTGTTGATCCAGCTCACAGGTTTTACCGAATCGTTGTTTCGTCGTGGCTAAGGTACAAGGAGGTTGCAGCCAAGACCATCCTCCGCATGCAGCAGCTCTTTTGAACTCATCGAATGAGCGGTCTGTCTCTGAGGTGTGTTCGAGACTTTCCAGCCCACAACAAGAGAAGCATGGAGAGAGAGTGTGGATACATTTATACTAACACCCTTAGGCGTGATGTCGGAATTTGTCAGTCCACAGACTGACTCTTTGATTTGTGGGGGCAGGAGAACCCAAATTCGTGTTTTGTGGCCAGTTCTTTATGATGTTTAGCAGTTCTAGGTAGCTGCCACGTGCTGGGGTTTGTTTTGAAGAGACCGAAGGTCCAGACAAATGCGTCTTCCAACAGATTTGGAGCTCCAAAATGCTGGCAAGATAATGAAAAGCCCACGCTCGCTGTCAACAACCTGGACTGGTTGCTTAGTCAGTGATGGCCCTCCACCGATTCCATTCCAGTCCTTCACATGGTCCGTATAAAAGCCTTCCCAACAACACGCATGGAATGGAAGTGGAAAACAGCAAGACCAATTCTCCCAGTGTTGTGTTTCTCCGTTAGGATGACAGGCAGTTGTTACCTCGTGACATTCTTTGTTCTCCCAGCTTGACCGTGCGCAGCAACCTTCCTTAAGGCACAATATCAATTATTTGGTGCGCGGTGGACGGTGTCAAGACCCAGAGTCAGAACGGGGCCGTGGCTGTTGCCCAAGAATATTTGACATCCCCTTCTTCATTCTGACGCCCTGGCTGAGCATAGTTCTTTGTGTGGCAGGTGGTGCTTCATTACATGCATCACACTGTGAAGGCGGCTGACCGTGTAGTTGGTGGCCCCTGAACACACAGATGTACACAACACTTGGATTGTCTGGAGGACAACATGGATCCAAAATTCTGCTAGATGCTTCAGGCTGGTTACCACAGCCATTTTGCGAGCATTGACGTTCCCCAACCCTTATTAAATGATAGACGCGGGTATATGTTTTTGGGGTCTTCTAGGTGCAAGATGGTACGTACCCGTAAAATTCATTTGGCCAGATGAAGCCTGTCACGCTGAAGATCCTATTTCAGGAATTCAGTGCCGAGCCCGAGGCGGCATCCAACCAAATCACTGGTATGCAACCCGAAAACGATTCCTTGGAAGTCCATCTTCCTTTAACATCCTTTAACACCAGTGGGGAGTTTACATTCTTCTTTTTGGCTTGGGCCTGGTTTCGCCGCTGTGCTAGATTGGCTTGCTCAGCTCTACGTCAGGATTCCAAGAACTACTTTTCGCATGCTGCTGCCCGCATTATTGAGGCTGATGAGGGCCATGTCTCCTCCAAGCTATGGGCTGCTATCCGTCATCGCTTGCCGGGCAAGCAGAAGAGGTCCTCCGGGTTCTCTCCCTTGGCATGCGAACGACTGGATGACCAATGGCATCCTCACTTTGATGCCCTTGAGTTGGGTGAGGCGACTACTCCAGGCTCTTTACTTGAGGCATGTCATGCCCGGCAACAAAATGCGCCGAAGCTCCTGCCTCTTCGAGATGAATTACCGACCATTATGGATGTTGAGGCAGCCTTGCGGCGAGTCTCTCCCAACAAGAAAGGTGGTGATGATCAAGTTCTTGGTGGTGTTCTTCATTGGGCTGCCCCAGCGATTGCGCAGGAGGTTACCTGCCTGTTTGTGAAGATCATCGGTGCTCAGGCTGAACCTTTGGCCTTCAAAGGGGGGTCGTTTGGCCCCCATTCACAAACGGGGTTCTCGTTTGGACGCAGCCAACTACCGTGGTGTGCTCCTCCTTCCGAGTCTTTCCAAAGTACTGCATTCACTGTTGCGAAAGCAACTCATGGCTCGACTTGATCCTATTCGACCACCCGGCTTCCCACGGCAGCAGGTCGTCTTTGGGTCTCACCGTGCGCGCATGTTTACCAGAGTTGCATCTGCCAAAGGCATCAGTTCGGGTCTGCTTTTCATTGACTTGTCGCAGGCCTACCATCGTCTGGTGCGCTCTTTGAGTGTCGGCCTTGGAGACTCTGGGCTACGGGATTTCGATGCCTGCATGAGGTCGTTAGATCCAAGGGCTCGCTTGGAGTATGTGCGCTCTGCTTTGGCTCCTACGTTGCTTGAGTCCATCTTTGAGGGACAGGCCATTTTGCTGATGCTCCAGGAGATCCACATTGACACCTTCTTCCACCTGCACAAAGACTTCGCCACGGTGACCCGTACTAGCAGGGGCAGCCGTCCTGGCTCTCCTTTGGCGGATGTCATCTTTAGTTGTGCTATGATTCGCATACATGAGGATCTTGAACTTGCTGTACGTTCTCACCCCAGTGTTCGACCTGCCGCTGCTGTTCTTGGTTTGGAGCCCTCCCTCACCACTTGGGCAGATGATGTAGCCATTGAATTGTGCTGCTCTACGGCGGATGTTTTGGTCCCTCTGACTTGTGACATTGCCAAGGTTGTGCGTCGGATATTTGCGGCCCGTGGGATGCACGTCAATCTCGGGCCCACGAAGACCTGTGCAGCCTTGACCTTTAAGGGACGTGGGGCTCCGGCCGCTCGTACCTTTCATCTTGTGGAGGAGAAGGGATGCTTGGTTGCTGATGAGGATTTTGGGAACTTCTGGCTCCCCTTTGTCGCTAGATACAAACACCTTGGGACCGCCTTCTCCACTGAAGGCGACTTGGCCCATGAGATTGCTGAGCGGATTGGTGCCGCCTCTTCGGCGCTGGTTGCTGTGCGCAAACCTTTGGTTGGCAACCGCAAGTTGAACTCCAAGACCCGCCACAGTTTGGCGGAAGCTTTGGTTTGCTCCCGGCTGCTTTTTGGTGCAGGAGTGCAGGAGCATGGCATGCACTTCCGAGTCGTGTCCAGAAGAGGCTCCACTCCTTTCTCACGAAGTTGTTTCGTGAAGTTTATGATGCGCAATTTTGGAGAGCCACTGATGGGAAGTTTATTCCTTCTGACGACCAGCTTTATGGTGACAATGCTGTGCAGGAGCTTGATGTGCGGTTGGCCCGGCTTCGCCTTTGTTATGCCGGGGCTCATCTCTGCGGCACAGGTTGAGAAACAGTGCTGCCCGGATGCCTGGCTCCTTGCCGTTGAAGCTGATCTTCAGTGGCTTCGAGCTGTGGTGCCAAATGCCCCATTCTTCGCGGATGACTCTTGGGAAGGGCATCTTCGATACTGGCAGGAACAACCTGGCCCTTGGAAGCAGTTGGTGCATCGTGCATGTGCTCTGCATCTTTGGCAATCCCGCACCAACAAGGACACCCTGCGGTGGCACGGTCGCATCATTGACCTCTTGGAGCAGTCGGGTATGGAGCGCTCTGTTCCGCCCTCAGCACTACCTGTTCGAGCAGTTGAGGCTTCTGGGGCTCTTTGTCATTGTGGCAGACGCTTCGCATCTCGGACAGCTCTTGCGGTCCATCAGGTGCATACCCATGGGGAGCACGCTCCTGAGTGGCACATGGCCCAGGACACGGTCTGCGGTGCCTGTCTTCGCAGTTTTTGGACAAAGGCTCGCCTGAAACAGCACCTTGCATACCTACCTCGGTCTGGCGCCCCCAACGCCTGCTTTGAAGCTTTGCGGCAACGATCTTTCCCCTCAGCATATGCTTTGGTGGGGGAGCCGGCCAAACTCCCGGGCTTGGCGCGCCATGATGCCCTTCCTGCTGCGGGACCTGTTGGTTTAGGTCTGACCCTGCACGAGGAGAAGACACAGCAATGGCGGGACGAGCTTCTTGACTTTCGAGCCCGCCTTCGTTCCCGGGGTTTCTTCGAGGATGGCACCCGAGTTGATCAGGGCCTGCACCCGACGTTGGATGAGATCACCACCTTGTGGTACGACCAATGGCTTCGTGATTACCCCCATGGCCCCAATTTGGAATGGCTACAGGGTGCTTGGCTGACCGCCTTGTCGGATTCTGGCAATGAAGATGCGGCCTTTTTGAGTTTTGGTCGTTGGGAGTCCGCTCTTGGCATCCTGCACTCGAGTTGGGAAGATGGTGAAGCCAGCCACTTTGTTGAAGATGCCTTTGTGCGCTTGTGCGCTGACGTGGAGCTTCTGCAATGGGTGGCTCGCTGTGATCAACTAGCCCGGCTACTTGATCTTCCGTCCCCAGAGGACAATTCGCTTGACAGGATTCGTGCCGACCAAGTACGAGCTCGACGCATTCAGCATCGCAATCTGGGGGAACAGCGGCAGGCTCGTGTGGGTCTGAGTCGACCATATGCAGCCCAGGACAACTTTGCGGTTGACTTCGATCCGGACTTAGTGCGTGTTCCTCCAGGGGGGTCTACTACCGTCCCCTGCCTGTGTCGTGGATTAACACGGCGCTGCTTCTTGGTGGTGCATCTTTTCTCCGGTCACCGGCGAGTTCGGGACTTTCACTGGCACTTGCAGCGGATGGCGGCTGAGTCGGACTTTGACATCGCTATCCTGTCCTTTGACACGGCGGTTGACTCGACGCTTGGTGATCTGAGGAGCTGCTCAACGTCCTGGAAGCACTTGGAGACTCTCTACCACAAGGGTCTGGTGGCTGCCACGCTTGCTGGGTCTCCTTGTGAGACCTTTAGCGAGGCTCGATGGACTCCCTTGGTGGATGCGCTTGGAGTTGAGCTTCGTGGCCCACGCCCACTTCGAACCACTGCGAGGCCTTGGGGGCTTGATGGGTTGACGCTCCGTGAAATGCGTCAGCTTGCACAGGGCAGCGCCTTTGCTTTGCAGGTTCTTTGGTGCGCTTGTGCCACTTTGCTTTGGGGAGGCTTTTTCATTTCTGAGCACCCGGCAGCTCCTCGTGATGAAGGCAGGGCCACTATGTGGCGGATGCCCATTATGCAGACCTTGCTGCAGGCTGTTCAGGCCCAATTGGTGACCATTGCTCAATGGCGGTGGGGATCTCGGACACCAAAACCTACCACGCTCCTTGCTATCCGATTGCCGTTTTTGAGGGCATCGATGGACAAGTGGCAGATTGGTGGCTTGAAGAAGCCTGAGGCTTGCGCCATGGGCCTTCACGACGGTGTCTTCCGCACGGAGGAGATGAAGACCTACAGTGAGGCCCTTTCTGCCGCCTTTGCCCAAGGCATTTTTGATGGCCTGCGGAAAGCCTTTTTGCATGGTCATTTGCGGACTGGCTCCCTTCCTAAGGAGGTTGAGCCGTTTGTCACGACGCTCCGGCATCTGAGTGGGCTTATTGATCCACAAGGCCATCGCTTGTCGGACTTTCAAGATCGCGCCTGATCTTGAGCTTGCATCGCGCTTTTGGCTTCGGCTGCGCAAATTGACGCGACGGGTCACAAGGCCCTGACATGCCCTTGAAATGAAAAACATGAAAAAACTGTAACACTGGCAACTTCCCATCCCACAATGGTGAGTGAATCCCTGAATCCCACAGGCGTTCGGCCCCTGGCCTTGGATGTCGCTGGAGGCCTCGTTGCTTCAGAGAAATGGGCTTTTGGGCCTCAGCTGTGAGAGCACATGTTGGCATGGCCCTAGAACCCCCTTGGAAACCATTTTCCTCTACAAACAATGGGGTTGTCCACTTCCATGGTTTTCGTTGAGGGAGGGTATGTCCTAGGCATTAGAAACTCGGCTTTTACTTGACCTCGTAGTCAGAACCGATGTGTGGGACCTCACTCCCGCGGAAGCCCCGCCAAAACCGTGGGTTTGTTCTCGTGGCCCGACGAGCGGTGGCCCGACGAGCGGATGCTTCAGGACCATCATCGCCACGGCCTGCATTTCACCGGCGTTGATTTTCATCAATACGGTGGCCCAGACGACATCGGCGAAGCGTCGCGAGCGTTGCCGGATGCGGAGGATGCGGAGAAACACACCCCATGTGGCTTGAAAAAGGTAATTGACATTCCTCATATCATATCAATACATTTAGTGCATGTTGGGGCTATATAATGCATAGCTGCATAGTTTGAGGGGCCTGAATGAAAGATAATACCATATATGCTTGATCGATGAAGTTGAACAGAAAACTCATACCCCAGTAGGAATGTCCATGTCCAGGCTGGAATGTTCAGCCACATTACTCAAGCACAGTTGATGTGAACTCCAAGAATTGCAGTGACCGCGTGCTCCTGTTGAACAGCCTTTGGCCCTCCGCCCCACGAGCCCGCAGCGGCATCAACCGACCCATGACCCGGGTTGCCCTCCTTGGTGCACCGGTCGCCCAGGTGTGGCCCTTAGTGTTGTGCATTGAGCATGAGTTGGCGGCCACCCTGCGCTCAGCCTGGTGTGATCCTGATCACATGGCGTACAGTGCAGCGCTCTACCAGTGGTCGAAGATGCCTGGAACGAAGTGCCACCAGGGGATGGAGTGGAGTTGCCCTTTTTTTTCCTCTCCTCTGTGGCTATAGTCAAATAATGACATCCCTATGTGGGGGAAGCGGCCTTGGACCTTGACCCTATCGAGGTCTATGAATTCAACTCCCTATGGCCAGTGAGTTGGTGAAATGGTGACTTTATATAACTTTGACTTTAACTTATTAAAGGTAACCTTTATATAAGATCTTCCTGCCATTGGTGACTCATGCAAAGAACCACGCCCAAAAGCAACCTGGCTACCTGGACCGGCGATTTCTGCATGCAGAGGGTTAGGCACCTGTCCAGTTAGATGCTGCAGTTCTTAATGCGAGATGGTTCGAGTTTGTTTGAGGGACGGCCTGAAATAAAGGAGGCCATTTGCCTTTGACATGGGATGATAGTTCACTTGAACTTAGAAAGCCAAGGGTTGGTGCTGGTCAGCTTCTTCACCCCTCTGCGCATGCCTAGAAGGGACAAGAGACTCCCTCATTCACGCATGGACCGAGCAATGGTGGCATTAGGCTTCGCGATCTGTGAAGAAGCAAGATTCTAGAGTGTGCAAAGCGCCTGGACCAGCTTTCTGCTTATTCGTGGAAACACGCGTGTACAATGCTGCGACAAGCTTTTTTTCGGGCTGTAGGCCGATAACACACTTGATTGAGCAACGGCCAAGATGGTGACTGCGTGGAATTTTCCGAAGTAGCGCGTCAGAGGCACCTCGAAGGGCAACCATTGCTGTCGGCTTTGATATATGCCAAGTGCAGCAAAGAACGTGTTTGAGCTCGAGCCTTTAGCAAGGATGTGTGAGGCAACAACTTTGTGCAGCCGGTGTCATTCCCACTCCGCCAGTCTCCGTCATAAAGCGGTCAATAGTGCCAATATCAACGTCGAAGAGGCAAAACTGCCCTACTGAACTGGGCTGGTGGAATGTTCGACCGTCAGAGAAACGCATGTCACAGACGAAGGGAGGGCAGAGGACAAAATACAAACAAACAGTTGCGGCAAACTGGACTGGTTGGGCGATACGTGCCCGGACATTGAAGCAAAATGGCTGGCTCAACTTCCGGAATTTCAAAAAAGAACAAGGCGAAAGGCCAGAGGGTTGCGGATCCTTCATATTCCGCAGTTTTTCTCCTATGAGACATCAGCATGCAATTTGGGGACCTCCCTTGTCACACCGACTCACACCTTAGGAAACACAAGCTCCTTCCACGAGAAGAATCATGTTCTCCTTTTGGTTCTGTCTCTTTGAGGAATTTTGATGATATTGATGGATATTGTTCTTGTTCTCCATTTCCTGGCTTTTCCTCCCACATCCTTTGATCCCTAGGACTCGCTTGGTCTACTTTGCAGGGCTTACAGCTGCCTTGGGCGTTTTGTTGGCTTTGCTGGCGCGCTTGGGCTGCTGTCGGCCCAACCGAGCCTTGACGGATGGGCCGGTGCCGAACCTATGCGGATGGCAGGCTGTTCTTGTTTTAATGTTCGCTTTTGATTCATTTGCCCCCCCATACTTTCGAGGCTCAAGCATCTCCATTTCATTTGGGTCGATACATCTCCCCAGGTGGGCTGGTCATTCAACAATCGTCAAGGCTAGTGCATCACGTGAGAAGCCTTGATGTTGAAGTTCCGTAAGCCATATTTTCCAAAACGCTTATATACTGTACATAAGGGGGTCCAATGGAATAAACATCAGGACTTTAAGACCTCAATTGTTGGTAGATTATGGTAAATTGATGTATGCAAATTGTGAGGCTACACTATGTAAGTGGCTTTTTATTTACACGCACAAAGGTAAAAGGAACAACGCTGCAAATCAACCAAAAACACATCCAGGACGAAACTAGTATAAGTATATAGTACTATATATAACAAAAGGTTTGTAGGGAGAAGCATAAGCACATTTGGTCACAATCAGACCACAAACATGTCAATATGTCAAGCGTCCTTGCTTCGTTCGTAGCGATGCCCTTTGTTCCTAGTAGCCTCTTTAAGTATTGACTTTCGGGGTGCTTGGGCCTCTTGTCAAGTCTATTTCCAGGCGTGCCTACGTGCCTTGATATTACAACGATGGACTCAATGAAGGAATCCCACTCCAATCATCAATCATGAGAATGTGAAGCTTTTGTCTACCACCCACACATTATGCAGCACTATATCAAGACAAGATTTGATTATCCTGACCCAGTTGAACTACTGAGTATTCAGTGATATTCAGTGTTTGGAGTTTATGAACTATCCATTCATCAAACCGCTTGATGATAAATAAGATAGTGAGGGCGGAATCAATCAATCAATCAATCAGGATAAAGGAGGATCGCACTTCAGACTGCCAAGAACTGTCAATTCATTCTCCCAAGTGAACCATGAAAAAAGTGTAGCCTGAGGAGATCAATATTTGTCTCACCTCTTTCGACGCTCTATGCAGCAAGCGCCTTGGATGAAGAAGGCAGGGGTTGGCTGTGGTGTTGTCAGCAATGTTGCAACTGAGACTTTTGGACATGTTGTAATATGGTGAAAGTATATGAAAGTGATCATGTTCATATACGCTATATATATACACATACATTTAGATGATACTATATATACATAGTGTATTTGTTAAATATGTATGTAAGTATATTCATCATTTCAATGTTCAATGTTTATCAATTCTCATTATTGTAAACATGTATATCAAGGTGCCATGTGTCCGCTTTTTCATTGATTGTTTGTTTTCCTCCTTGGTTCATTGCCACGTCCGTCGGCCCTCCCTTCACGACGATCTTATGTTGCTTTCACTTGCTTGGGTTTACATTGCTTCTTCCCACATCCTGCTTCAATAAGACTAAGAGTATATGGTTTTTTAGACGATTTTGAATCCTCGAGCTATATGCTCGACCATAAGCAATACGCAGCCCCATTGGATTCGTCCCCCCCCAAAAAAGCGCCTTACCACGGAAAACCCATCATGGGTTCCCCCCGCATCAGTTTTCGAGTTGAACTCGTTTCGATACTCCTCGGGTGGCCTGAGGTGTTGATCAGAGGCGCGATTTGTTATTCGATCTATGTCACTGTGCCCTGGATCCTCCTCCAAATGCAGCCGCCCGGCGTGCCATTGGCAGACGTGACCATCACAAAAGGGACCATAAAGAACTCGAATTACAGGTGCAGTTGCAAAGATGGAAAATATCCGAAGGTTTTGTTCCAAAGCCTCCCTGAAAGGACTTTCATCCAATTTCAAATCTTTACGTCGGCTTTACGTGCGTTGCTGAGGAATCCTTCAAACCCGCACCACTTGAATGATGCAATGATGTCATGCTGTCATGCTCAGAGGTTGCTCCGCCATAGCGATCCATATATGTGGCTATGGTTAAAGGAATCAGACCCCCAAAAACCCGCCCCGCGAGTGTAGACTGTTTTCACTGGGTGGCTGGATGGTAGCCATGGACGCCAATGGCGGCACAAGGTCATTTCAGGATGGTAGTTTCTTTGTGCTGAGCAGGGCTGGGTGTTTTATATGGGGCAGGGAGCTACGAAGACACACCCAACATTTACTTGGAACCTGCGGCGGACTTCTTATTGTAAAAAAGATGGCATGTGTTTGACGGGCCCATGCCTCAGCTCACTCAGCATGTGATTCAGTTGTTGATTTTGGATGGCCAATGACAAGCCCACAGCCGGTGGCATCCTTCTGCACCCAGGAACCTCACTTGGGGTGCTACCCCAGCGTTCTTCTCCAATGGTGCTGGTGAAGGCAGTGAGTGGGTGCGTTACTACTGCTGGAGGTATATCACTGAGAGTATCTTGCCCGAAGGCTGACGCGAAGTGCATCGATGGTTACTCTAGCCGCAGAAGCCCCACTCGGAAGAACCACCATGGCCTGACCTGGGCATGCTTTTGTCATGCTGATGGCAGGCCATGAGCAGATTTGAATGGAGGAAGTTTGGAGGTTGTTTTGGGAATGTTTACACCTTGCACTACCCTGTGTGACTGTTTAGGTCAACCCTATCCCAGTAGTATTTGGTACAACTTGAGCAGCTTGATTATAGTTACAGGATTAGTTACATATTGAGCTTATTATGCGCTCACCAAGCATGTATTATTTAGTATACTGTGTTCAAACATGTTCAAACGCAGTATCGGTGCTGCATGATCAAGGTATTGAGAGGCCATCCTGCATTGATCACACCCAGTTCCACGGGCCTTTGTGGTTCGATGATGGGCACAATTATCTCTACAGGACGTTCAGCTGGGAAAAGGGATGGAGTTGCAAGGCGTCATAAGCACGTGCAAGCTGCCTTGTGTGTTTTGGTGATGAGTCTTCCCATGCTCTTTTCGAAACAAAACGCCCTCCCAAGAATGTTGGCAAACGATGCTAGCAGCCCGAGGGCCAATTCTTCATGGCTCTTGAGATATTTAAGGAGTTGTTCAGCGGAAAATCCCTCAGAAATTCTCCCAAAATGACCATGGCATCAGCCAGGAATGCCAGCTGGGTGGCTGAACACCACATCGCCCACCCCAGCGGGGCGGACCCGGGTGGGAACACTGCATACACCACGCCCATGTGGCGCGGTGCACGAAAGTGTGCACCTGGGTGGTGCTGTCGAGTTCGCTGGGGGGAGGCAGGGCCTGGCGAAGTCGGAACTAGGAATTGGTTTTGTTTTGAAACAGTATTCCACCTTAGGATATACTCTGTAAATAATGATTGTTTTATGTAAATATAGTACATATGCATTAATATTACACATAGCTTTGGTGTGTTTTTGTCAGGCTTCCCAGAACTTCCGTTACCTCTTGAGATCCTGGCATCCCTACCAATTAGTCAAGAACCGAAAAGATGAATATGAACACCGTTGGGAGACGTGGACGGCTGCGCCGCCCACACTGAAATCATCGCAGTTTTCTTGTGACTCTTTAGCTGCGCATGACGTCACGAAGACCGTCAAAGTTCCACTTGTAGCTTTACGCAGTTTTCTCAGAGTTCTTTTTTCCTTGGTTTGTGCGCCAGCTCACCCCAAGTGCAGATGCGGACTTTGTGATCGGGCCGAGACATTGGACTAAATTGGACTGTCGAATTCCAACTACCCGTTGAGAAGTTAGACATCGAAACCCCATTTTCTCAGTGATTTGTGACGTATTTAATGGTTTAATGATGAGTCCCGCTATCATCATGATCTGTTGGATTTAGCAAGCTATGCCAAAAGACTGATCTCCTAGTGGGCTTCCGGGGCAGGAACGGTTCTTGAACGGCCTGCCATTCCCAGTCAATTGTATTTCAAGACATGTCCTTGTAGCCTTGGGCATCCTTGTATGTAATACCGGACGCTGCAACCAAGATGGGCCCAAATTGGATGCCCCATTGCTTCACTGCTGGATGTTCAGCTCACTGTGGAGGAGGAGGGCAGTCTCCTCCAACTATTTTCCACTATGAACCAACGATCTTCAAGTCTCAGCCAAGTCGCCGGTCCTTTGATTTGCCTGGGCCTCTGAGGTTTTTAATTGTCAACCTTATTATTTTCGCAGCTGGCTTGTCACTGGGCTGAGGAATTCCCCACGTTTGCGCTAATAACAACAGGTATTATTGGGATGGTATATTGTTTTTTGCTCATCTGCACCAAGTATGCAACATCTTTTTGCTGGGATCATCTCGGCGTGCTTTACTGGTAGATGTTTCACTGATGCTGCTCAACATTTCGACTCATAGTGGGCGTTTCTACCCTCACAAGTCATGGTCAAGATCCCGTGATGTGTCTTTTTCATATTTTTTCAGGTTTACTTTGTCTTATTGGGGTTTACAAACTCACACATCCCCGCACATGCTTCCCCCCTGATTATACACATTTGTTGTTGCTTGCTCAATTGGGGAACCTCGAAACGTAGCAGCAATTTATGTTTGACCTACTGACCTACCTGTGTTGCTTGACAATTTCACGGTGTACCTATATATTATATAGAAGTAATGCGTAATGACATATAATGACGTATAGATCTTAAAGTATAGATATGTTACTGTATCGCATGGTTCTATGCTATATGTAGGAACCAAACTCATGTTTCTTCAGGCAGCCACTCCCTCCAATCCCATCCCATCATCCTCAATCGTGCCACTTGATGGCGTCAAGACTCCACCAAATCGCAGGAGATCCTTCTTTTTGATCCTCCTTTTCTGAATTGGTGTCAGATAAAATTTGCAGGAGTCCGTTTTGGGGGGGTGAATACCGTGGTTTCCGAAGGCTTCCAAAAGATTTTATGTTGATTTTACCTGTCACCAATCCATTGAGCCTTCGTTTCTCCCGAGGATTGGGCTCTTGTGGGGTTTGTCGCTCCTCCGGTGGTACCTCACCTTAGCGGGCCCCATTTGGGCAGCGTTCCTGGTGGCTCTGGTCGCCCAATGGCAGATCTTTGGGCCCTTGACGGGACAAAGCTTGTTCCCCAACCTCTTGCGCCTTGGCATGCGGTGGATCTGGGCGAAGCTGGGGAGTGAGGTAGGCTCCAAGTAGATTCCAAGTAGATGGAGGAAGGCTCAGACACTCAAGGTGAAGGTTGGGAGGTTCTAGGGCAGCTAGTGTTTTTGAAAACCGTGTTTTTAGGTCAAGGCATCCCCAATGTGCAGATTCTGACGCTACTGCCTGGGATCCACGCCAAATCATTCCCATGGGGTTTGGGGGGGATTTGCTGAGTATAGCGTATTGCTTTCCATCCAGACTTGTTTTCTGCAACCGGCGCTGTTTCTCAGTTCGACAGGTTTTGCCACAGCGGATCCCCAAGTTTGCAAGGTATTACTCCCACAGCAGCAGCTCCTGGATTTTCCACGTTTGCATCATTGCAGCTGCGGCTTGGCACGAGCAATCAGCGGATCAGAGAAGAATGGTGTCTTGTTTCCCTTCACTTCATCATGCAACCAACGTGTTCGGGATAATTTGTTTTTTTGGTTTCTCGTATTGGTTTGAGGTAGCCCAAGGACCTCGCACAATATGGCCAACATGGTAGATAGAAGGGGGGCGATAGGCCTTTGATTGAAGTTGGAACAGCTTCCAGAAGCTTCCACCACCTCTGAGTTGCATCAATTGCATTGAGCCGGTTCGCCAGATACCAGGTTATTACATTGCCGATCTACGACCTGTTGATCAAATTGATCCACTCCTACTACCGGCGCTCATTGCAGTTGGCCTACTTTTGCGATGGCGAAGACATCGAGTTCCCAGCTGCAGCAGATAGCCCCTACTGCCCAAACCTGCTGCTGGGGGCGTGCATTAATGATTTTCGCAGACCAGAAGCTATGCTGCAATTAGTTATTATACAGATTTGCCTCCCAACATCTCCCAACCACTGATTGCTCAACCATCTCACTTTCGCATGTCGAACTCACACATCTCCAGTTCTATTTTGGGGAAGATCAACTTGTTGATTTGGGTGAGCCTGCCAATGCCATCATTCCGAACATGCAGGAGGACGGGACTACTTTGACAAGGGTCCCTCTATTTCCATCCTTGTTTTTTTTTTCAACTTTTGGGTAGGTAAGGTGTAGGGCCTCGAGATTTATTTAGAGAGGGCACTATTCAACCGGTTGCATGACTTTCGCGCCTTTTGCTTGTGTTGCTTTGCTTTGCCTTGCCTAGCCTAGCCTTGCCTTGCCTTGGCTGGCTGCTTGCTTGCTTGCTTGCTTGCTTGCTTGCTTGGGTCAATCGCCTATGCCACCTCACTGAGGAAGACAAAGAGCTTCTCTCTGATTTCACCTTGACGCCTCTTTTCATGGGCTGCTCATTTGCAGAGCATTGCGAGTTTGCATGTTTCCAGCACACAAAATCCCTCCTCGTAGCAGATGAAACATGGTGAAGCAGGGCGTCGCAGGTTCAGTCGAACCTATATAGAGCCATACACTTGCATGCAGTGACTGGAGGTGGCCATTCTGGACACCAACCCTGCAGAATCCAGGCTCCAGATCTTCGTGTATGTGTGTGGTGTGTGTCCAGCTATAGATGCCACAGACAGCTGCCTTGGGCGTTTTGTGAGTGTATGTCAAATGTGTGATCCAAAGACCAGTGCCGGGTGTTTCCCTCAAGCCTGTTGAGGATTGCACTCCCCCAAGAATTCATTGCTTTCCTCCATGCATACCTGGTGCACGCGACATGTTGGGAGTGGGCACTTTACATGCAGCAAACTAGAAGTAAAGGAAACACAGTGGCCGGCAAGACCATGTCCCACAAGTCCCCTGAAATGCCACTCCCACAAACCAATCCAACAGGAGATCCTTTGCAACGGTGACCTTGAGGCGGACCCTGACCGGACCGGCTTCTTCCGAGGCTGCCCCCGGACCGGCTTCTTCCGCACCGACCGCCGCATGCGGCTGGGCTACGCCATCTCGGTGTCCGGCGCCGCGCCCGACACGCTGATGTTGACCAAGCACCTCGGCGGGCGCCACGCGTGGTGCGGCGCTCTCCGCGGCCGTTGGGTGGGCCGGTGGGCCGGTTCCGGCGTTCAGATGCCACGAACCGAAGATGTTTCATTCAGTATAGCTGTAGGGACACAGCATCAAGATTCAAGAGTCAAGACCAGCTGTAGGGAATGAAAAGGGTGACATTTCAAACAAACGCTCTTCACCGATATGGTGCATAGTTCTGCGTACTCGTGGCGTTCTGTGGCGTTTGGTCTACCATATTGACCAAAATCCACAACTCAAACAGCTCATGGTATCTACAAAGGGGTTTTCCTCCGGCGTTCCAAACGCAACACAATCGAACCAGGGTGAAAAACTGATGAATGTGTGCATATAATATATGTTTCCTGAGCTCATGTATTCAGCCCCAAGACCACTGTCCCGAACTGGCCTGAGCCTGGGAAAACCAGGCCGCGGTTCCGCGGTTCAACTTACGCATGGAGGCTTGCACATGTTATAGTGGGACACGCAGCATTTGTAAATGACAGCTGACTCAATCGGTCCACAAAGCTAACCACATCTAACTAACAAGTCGAACATCGTCGAACACATAGATGGTATAAGACGTGATCATGTTTCAACCTTTCCCAAGTCTCAAGGTACATTGAAGACCGTTGTTTAGGTACTTGCGAGAAAAACACCCACCCGTGGGTCTTACCCACCACTTTTCGGCATGGTGCACATGCGCATTTGGCAAGGGTTGGCACGGATGCACTGGGGGAGGAATGGCCGGCACCCAGGTTCGATGTGCTCCCAATTCGATTCCTTTTGTGCCTTGACTTATTGAAAGAGATTCATCCGTACTAGAAGCGATGCACTTGTTCCTAGTAGCGTCCTTGTTACTACTAGTAGCGTCCTTGTTACTACTAGTAAGGCACTTGTTACTAGAAGCGATGCACTTGTTCCTAGTAGCGTCCTTGTTACTACTAGTAAGGCACTTGTACTTTCTTTCTGCTTGTGGCCCGGACCAGTGGATGCATCCTGGCCGCTTGCAAGACTTTCTTGGAACATGTTCCCCGTGGAGAAGAACTTGAACTTCAAAAGGTCCAAGACTAGGTGAATGTGTTGAGCAGGATTGTGAGGATAGAGTTTCTCTCGCAGAATGCCTTGGCTTGTTGAACAGGAGTCTTTCGGGGGCAGGACCTGGCACCTCACCTCAACAGTAAAGACTTCAAACCAGATCGAACCACTTGACTAGTACATACTAGTACTTGCCCTTCCCCAACTTTCTGTTGCGACATCATTTTGCTTGACGGTATGTTAGAAAGAAATTGTGGCATCTAAAGAGATATCAAAGGCTCCCAGTCTCCAACTGAGATTATAATCATTCATATGGTCCGAATGCCATGAACTGTTCCCACCATTCCAGACCACATCACCCCGACAACTGTCCTGTGGAGGACCCCTACAAACCAACCCACACAGACAAATTGTTCTCACATGTTCTCACTGCTCCCCTTTGCAAAGCCAAATCGCAGTGGACTTCTCAAACAGATTCAAAGAGTATATAAATAAGAGATCCCATTCCCCAAACTAGTGTGGCGCTAACCTGTTGAAAGAATGTCATTTTGGAATTTAACCCATGTAACACAACCCAGACAACCATAGCACAAAAACCCAGACAATATAAAGCCCAAATCAATCTGAAACAAACCCAAGTACCTTTAAAACAACCTAAAATCTCCCAAAGTCAAGCACCAATCCGAATCTGGAGTGGTTTTCATTACTGCAATCCCAGGGACTAAAAGTTTTCAGGTGGGGCTGGCCGCCACCGACCAAGCAGCTAATACACCCCAACACTCGGCTCGTCGGCTTGTATCATCCCATCAAACTCAATGATCTCAATGAAACGCTTCGAGGTCCGTCTTCTCATTACGCCTCGGCGACTTCGTACGCCTGGCACCCGACGGTAAGATTGCGGCGCAGATCGGCACCACCTTTCGGCGCTTGGAAGAGCGGGCGGCGCCAGCGGCGGCCGGGAACGAGGTGCGGAACGGCAGAACGGCAGCATACGTGACAGGTGGGATGATGAGTCAGATGAATGAGCAGCTACTTATGTGTCTGACGTTTATTTGCAATCACTATATATGCATTTGCGATCATTTGTTGTTGGTGTTGGTTCTTCTGTAGAGTGAGGTGTGACTGAATAGGAGGGTATGGCATGGGCTTTAAAATGGCTGTAACATCACGGGGAGTGTCCTAGTCAAAAGAGAAATGTTCAAATTGATAAGGCATGGCGATGTTGTGGTACATAGAACAAAGACACATGGACAAAGTGTCACAAAGTGTCAGAGTGCCAGAATACAATCTCATTGAAACTATCCGAATGTTGACCATAACAACACTCCTTTGCACCTGCATGACCCAACTTACTTGTTGGAGGTTATAATAACCCACCTTTGATGGAAGAGCATTCCAAACAGCTAGCTGCTCACCAGGCGAATCGGATAATCACCCTTGTTGATTTCAAGCAGTCGTGTCTCCCATCCGGTCGCTCGTCTCCGCAGACCGGACCTTTCGAGGGGTTTTCGGATCCCGCCCGGCCGACCGTCGCCAGGTTCGGGCGGCCACAGCACAGTTTTTGGCACAGAGGATTTGGGATGGGGCTCCAGTGGCACTCATCCTGATGGCCTGCCACTTACTGGTCACTTGGACTGATGTCAACTGATGTGGGCCTTCTTTCAGTGAAGAAAATGGAGTTGCCAAAAAGGACACGAATGGATGGAAAAATAGATCTCCGTGGGAACAAACGCTGTAGCAGATTCATGTACCAACAATCTTCCCACTGACCAGTGGGTGGCCCCCCGTGGTTTCGTTTTCTCTTTCAAATGAGCTGCCGGACTAGGTCAAGCATTTGCTGTCACTTGGGCGTTCTTGGAGGAAGAAGATGCAAGGACCCTACGACCTTCCAATGGTTGAGCCTTCTGCTCACCTGGGGCCAGCAGACATGTTTGGGACACTGGCCCTGACTCACAGTTAACATATGGTGACCCGGCAATTAAGGCCATCAAGAATAATGATCACAGCAATTGGAAAATCCTCAAGGCAATCTAGTCTTTGAAATGAATTGCGTAGACGGTGATTTTCAGTTTGGCTTACTTTATTGCTCCTGCCTTTGTCATATATACATACCACAGATCTGTTTGTTCATCCAGGCCGGTGAGTACAGGGCACATTAACCCCCACCTGCTGAGCACAAGCCAAAATGGAGACAAACCCTCAAAGGGCAAGAGCCAATCGAAAGGAAAGAGATGGACAGAGACAGAACTAAGAAGGACGAAGACCATTACAGTGCCTGGATTCCTATTCCAAGCAAGAGTGTCAAGGAGTGAATTCTGATGAGTTCTGTATCACCAGGTGTCACCAGCTTGGCACTCACTTCAAGAGCCGGAGGTTTTATTTCGCACGCTCACTTCATGTTGACTGTTGATGAATAGAGCTCCGATATATTGCGATGTAGAACCATCCTGGTAGCGGGGTGGAACACAATTCACTGTCAACATTGCTCTCCCGGACTTTCATCCTCATCAACCCCTTTGGTTCCTCTCTCAGGTGATGCTGGGAAGAGGCTTGGATGATGTAGGTGGTTGCGGCGCCTACCAGGTGATCCTGCAGATGGGCTTGTGGCTTTGCTGCCAAACCTACGAGTGCGAGTTTTTTGCTGTGTTGAGCAGGTTCAGGGTGAAAGAGCTGATCATTGGTCAACCTTTCCATTTGATCCAGGGGTGGCAAAGGAATTAATTACGGCCGAGGCCGTTTTTTCACCCCTTCCATCAGGCCGCAAACGCGCGAGTTGTTCAGCCGAAATGATCGTCCGGCCTGACCGGCAGAGGTTGGGCGACAGAACACCATGCTTCGGATGTCAGATGACTCATGTTTCTCGTTCGGTCGTAGCCTCTGAAGACATTCTGACAAGCTTTAGATGGGCGTGACTCTCCGGTGGATGGTGTGAAGGGCTACACCATGGCTAAACCATACGAAAGCGTTCCCACGCGACAAAAGGCTGGGAAGACCCGCCAAGGCAGGCTCTTGGAGCGGAGCCGCACCTTTTACCTAGGATACACCGGGCGAACCAGGGTGAACCAAACTCATTATAGGCTTCCTTCTGCGGGATGGCATATTGCAAGGGTTTGAATGGAAGACTAATTAATTATGATCCCAATGGCCAGATGTCTATTCAATTTCTCCTCCAGTGGCAAAACATGTTTACTTGGATGATAGGTTTGAGAGAAACCATCTATCATCCTCATCATCAGGCCCAGCATTAACTCTTTGCCATACGCAATCCGGGGGGGTGGGACTTCAGTTTCTATAGGCACCAAAGGGGGAACGCATAAACACCAGCTGAAACCAGGGCTTGCCCTAAACACCCGATTGGTTGACTTCAGCACCGATTGGTTGATCAACTATTCTGGAATCCTCCCGAGGTCTGGCTTTGTGATACTTTTAGTGCTAAGCTTCTTCGCCTTCGCCCCACAGTTGCGATGGCTCATGCGGAGTCCGCTGATCCTGCAGTTTCAGTGACTCCGCTTTATCTCAGCATGAAGAACCCTTGATCTCATGAAACTGTTTGGTTTGCAAGATTGTCATGGTGGTTTCGGTGATTTTATTGTTGTATTTAATCGAGAAGAACGGTCCAATTGCAATCATCATGTGGCTGAGTCCTTCCACGGCATTCCAGCGTGCGTTCCAGATGCTTCCAGAGGACCGTGCATCAGCCAAGGATGATGTTCATGCACCGACATCAAGCTATAGAGCCCCCCACCATACGCAGCTTGGCCTGTTCGGGGGTGTTCGGGGCATTGGAAGTGCTTTTGTATGCTTTTGTTTTGGAGTAGCACTGTAGACACGTGTGTTCAGTCCTTATTTGAGGTTTGGTTTGCCGTTTCGATGTCGCAACCGAAAGGAGAGGAGTGGAATCTCTTCAACTCTTCAACTCTCTTATTGGCTCAACAAATGGAACAACGTTAAACGGGAGTTGTGGCTCCTATTGGCTCCTTTCATTCTTGCCCCAGGTCTATGTCTCTGATGGGGGCCTTATTGAGTGCCTCGGGGTGCTCATGCTTTTGCGACGCAGGATGCCACTGATCATTTGCTCAGATGCCTGTGAAGTGACTTGGTTTCAAGATGTTTCAATTAAAGAATCACCAATGATACTCTTTGCCACCTTGATTTGTGCCGGCACTGCATGAAAAGAGAGAGCATGAACAGCAGCTAAGTGGAAAAGAAAGGCTTGAGCCGGCACAATCCAGTTTCATTTGTTGTTGATTTGCTTGCAGCTTTATCCTTATATCCGCATGGCCGAGCAATCTGAACGAGCTTTGCATCACAACTGCTGGCGGAAAGCAGGTTCTGGTAAACCTCACCAAAGGTGATACAGCCCTGACACTGAAAGCCAGGCTTCGTGATAAAATGATGGAAGCAGGGCAGGCTGATGTGCCTGTGCATGCTGCAATGAAGCTTCTCCATGTTTTCGGAATCTTACAGGATGAATGTCTGGGTTTTCAAGCTTATGGCATACAGGTAGTAGATGGAGTGCACTTAATGCTTGTGATTTCTTTTCCATCAGGAGACTACGGGTTCGCTTCCCGCAGGGAAAACGCACCGACTGGAGACAATACCACAGCGAGAGTGGAGGTATCCTTCCAGGAGGGCGGCAGATTCAGAGACCAAGATCCCCACCCTGATGCACTTCAGTGCGGGAGAGAGGTGGGATCACCAGTACGCAGCACACTGGCAATGCCAGTGCAGGTGAAGGGCGGCAAATGATTCTGAAAGTTCCAGATTGCCAGCGCAGAGGCCTTTACTTTCAGCATGACCCCCATGAGGATTTGATGGGGGGCGATGCAAAGGAGTTAGTGGACCAGATCAGGCTTCAGCTTCCATTTGAAGCTGGTTTGTGCAATCGGAGGAGAGCTGTCTTGAAGTGCATCGTGCAAGGGGATTCCCAACAATGATGATGAAGATTCCCCAAGGTTTGCTGGTAGTCCATTTTCGGGTCTGTTTGCTCCGCTGGAGGGGGCCTGCTGGGCAGACTAGGAAGCTGAGCCTCTTTCGGAGGTTTATGCATGTCCTAGGTTGCGCCTGATTCAGACCTGCCTGAGGGAAAATGATGCAACGCAAAGGGGACGTCAAGATTGCATAGATTGATGCCTGAACAGCTTGCCGAGAGAGGGAGAGAGAGAACAAACAGAGCAAGAGAAAGAGAAACTGAAAGAAAGCACAAGGCAACATTCAGAGACAAGACTAGCATTGCAGTACAACCTTGCGTTCATGTTACCTTTATCAACAGACGTTGATGAGTGAATGAGCGCATAATCGGGCTTTTGGATCACTCAGACAGCAAGACTTCAGAGAACGTGCCGAAGTTGAAACATCAAAGACATTGATTAGACTCGCCTCAAAGTAACAAAGCTGCCCGTCAATTTGGGTGAGGAGTGAGGGCACGTAACAGAACAACAGAGGAGGTCCTGCTATACAATCCTCCCAGTTGTGTGTGGTGTTAGGCCAAGTTTGTTATATACTCACCTAGCAATGCAATATATAATCATAGCAGCATGTTTCCAGGCCTGCTAAAGTCTTGTTCCAGCTTTATGCAATCGCTGAGTGTTCTCGGGATACGTGGACTTCTTTCATCCTGAGGATATGAATGTCACCTTGCGTGCCTTGCTGGACACGATCCACCTCGCCCGGGAGGAGAAGCTGTACCTCGACCGGCGATCCCGGCCGTTGGCGGAGCAGCTTTCTGGAGTAGTGATGTCTTGGAAAAGACGGCGAACGTCAGAAAGGGAATCTGTAGCACTTTCAGGGAACTGAAGGTTGATGGTTCTTTTGATGCCTCTCAGATTGGAGGCTTTTCTGCGAAAATAACGCTATATCTTAATTTATGTTACTTTGGGTGACCGGTTGAATCTTATGCGGCCATCTGGTACACAGCTAAGACTGACGTGGAAGAAACACACTTGGACTTCACCTGAGCGCCGGGCTTGACTCAAGACTCAAGGAATTGGTGCAGTTCCGAACTTCCGAACGTTGATACTCCATGTCCGCTACTTCCATAGCAAAGCTTCTATAGGGAATCCTCTCGCTTACTACTTCCTATGACTATAGGTCATTCCCTACGCCTGGAG